TTCAATTACTGGCTCCATATTGGGTTACAGAGGCTAAAATCTTTTTGATTTTTGCCTCCAGCTGGACTTGAACCGTTAACCTTGACTGTGGAGGCATGGAAGCTTAACCGCTAAGCTATGGGACCCATACCCCTTTTGCTTATTTAATTAATCTATTGAATATTACTTTCTTGTATAATTTGTTCAAAAGGCTAGCTATTATTTTTTCTTGATCAGTTTTGATTATTTTATATTTTTTGTCTATATTTTCTTTTATTTGTTTTCTTTGTTCTTGTTTTTATTCTTTTTTTTTTATTCTAAAAAATTCTTTGCCAACTCTTTATATTCTCTATTCATGCATCAGACCATTATTATTAGATTTTTGGTAACTTTGCATCTACTTTTTTGTCTAGTATCTTAAGTTTTCCATTTACTTTATTTTTTTCTATTACTGTAACTTTCTGTTCTCTTTTTGTTTTTGTATATTTGACTAGTCTTTGGAGCTTTACAATAGTCTTTTCTTATTGATAGTTTTTTTGACTATATCTTCTGTTTATTAATATGTTATAAATCTTCTTAGATATATGCTTGTTTGCTACTATTATGATTGTTTCTTCTATTATATCTCATATATTATTTATTTTTTGTGTTTTTTTTTTTGTTTCTTGTTCTTTTTTTTGAATATATTTTAATGCTTCTTTGACTTCCAATTCTTTTTGTAATTCTTGTATATAGTTTTTTTATTCTTTATCTTTCATAATATTATAAAAGTATATTATTTTTGATTGATTTTTTCTTTTAACATTTGTCTTGCTGCTTTTCATTATTATGTATTTAATCTATATTTCTGCTATTACTATTTTGTAATTACTTTTGATAATTTTTTTATATCTTTAATTTTTGCCTTTTGTAAGCCTAATGCTAACTTTTCTAATATCTATATATAGTTAATTCTTGTTGCTGTTTCTACATTTGACTATGTATATTTTGTTCTGTTAGGTGCATTTCTTTGTATATATTATAGAAGTTTTGTTGTCTTATTTAATTAAATATTAGCAGTTTTTTGAAACTTGCAATTTGTAGATTCTGACTATCTAGTATATTGTCTACAGTATAGTTAAAGTCATCTATAACAACAACTTGCATTTGTTTTTCTTTTTTTGTAATAGTCTTTACTATTTTTTGCTAGATGATTTTTCCTACTACTTTGTTATTTGGTAGTATATAAATTTTTATTACTATTAGCTTTAATTGTTTAAAGTATAATGTAATTTTTATTATATATTTATTTATTTTCTTGACTGTGCCTACATGCTTTTTTTAGTGTTCTTCTATTAAAATCACTATATTTAATCCTTTTTTTTTGTCTTCTGCTACACTGCTTCAATATCTAATATATTTTTTTATTGTCTTGTAAGTTAGAAATTTTTTTTCTCTTTCTATAAAGTTTGTTTCCATAACTTCTAATATTGTAACTTCTTTTTTTTCTAACTAGCCAAGCAGGTTTTTAAGCTTTCAATTTTTGGTTTTTAATCTATTAATATTATGAGATACTATCTTTATCTCTTTTTTTTTTTTTTTTTATTCTTTTTTTAATTTATTCTATTCTATTTCTATATGTTCTTTATTGTTTTTTTCTTTTCTGCTCTTTTTTCTTTCTAGACAAAAGATATTGTTTTTTCTTTAAATATTTTTCTTTCTTTTTACAGAAATTCTTCAAGCTTCTTGTTCATTTCTATTGTTTCAACTATGGCAACTTCAGGAGCAATTGGCAAGACTCTCTTCTGCCATCTTTTTTGTTTCTTCTAATTTTTTCAATCTTTTCCAGATTTGATCTAACATATTTTCTATATATGGGACCCCCTACAGCAAATCGAACCAGTAGGTGGACCAATCAGATTTTGAGATTTTATACTGATCATTTACTTAAGAGTCTTGTCTTTATAAGGATATTTTTTTTTTTGCTGAATATATTAGTAAAATGTGTACAAATTTGATTTTTTTTCTTTGTTACCGTTATAATAAAAAATCGATTAACATATATACCACATACAATAATTTACAGCTGTATATATTTTTAAACATAAATCGTGTTTCTTAAATGCTATAATAACTAACTATTTATATACATAAATGCTATATAATTATATGCTTGAACTTGTAAAATGCAGAAGCAAGAGATAATTTAGGTGATGTAGTATTTTGATAAAGCTGTAAAGTATATATGTACGTACATATACATATGTATATACAATACATATGTACGGATATATAGTAAATTAATACAGTATAAAAACACAAATTGGGACAGACATGTGAAAATCATGATAGTATGTACAATTTGTAAAAGAAAAATTCTGCTAAAGCAAAGCTAATTTTCCTATAACCTCATATAAAAAAGAAGATGATTACACTTCTCTAGCCCTAAACATAAAAAAAGAGGTTACTTGTAAAGGATTAGGTCTCCTCTTTCATTTGGCATGAGGATGTGACAAATTATCAGTGTGGCGAGTAAGCACTAACTAAATAATTATATTAAATAATGCTTATTAGCCACACCCAATGATTCATTACATTCTTGTGCCAAATGAATAATGGACTTATAAAATTTCACTATGTTAACCATACATACTATCAAAATTTTGCTCAATTTTCGTATATCTGTACATCTTTGTACAATTATACAGTACTACTTTACTATCTACCTCATATGTTCATACATATGTATGTATATAATTATACAGATGTGAAGAATTTAAAAATTAAAGAACTTTTATTGTTTTTTTTTATTTTAAAAGTATAGAATATAATATATATTCTCATGATGATAGTATAAATGAAGTCATTTTATCTGCATTGAAAGAGTTAGATGATACTTATTTTACTGATTATTCAGATTCTAAAGACGAAAAATCTAACACTGTATTAAATAATAAATTAATATTGGATGTCAATTTTTCTGATATTCCTTTAAATAAATTAAATGAATTTAACTTTGTAGATGTTCCAGACAATTACATTGAAGATAAAATTTACGATGATTTAAAATTAAAAATTAAAAAATTTTTTTCATAAAGGTTAGTGCTCATGCCATTCTAAACAACCCTGTTTTGAAAAAATTAGATATGAAAAATTTCTTGCGCATCGAGCTGAATTTGAAAGTTTAGAAAAAAATATGCGAGATATGGTTATTAAGGGGCAACTTCTAGCTTTTCAAAGAAATGAAAATACAGATAAGGTTACTAATAATAATAGAAAAAATTTATATTTTAACTATTATTATAATCATGATATTCCAGTATGTCTTGATACATATTTAAATCTTGTTGGAGTTGGTCCTACATATTTAAAGAATATTAAACAGCATTGCAAGAACACGGCCTTGAAGAATGTACACATGGCAATACTGGTAGAGCTTCTAAAAATATGAATCGTATTGAGGTTAATTATGATTTGGCATGTGACATATTTAAGTTTTTAAAAAACTATTCTAACATACATGGTATGCCCTCACCTGGACATCACTGTAACAAAATTACCATACTAACTGTATTTCTTCCAACAAGTTTTAGTTATGCATCAGTATATCATGATTACATACAGGCTTGTAAAGATAAGTATGATAAGGATGCTCGTATTTTGGCTGAATCAACCTTTACTAATATTTGGAAATCATTAATGCTGTCACTTCAATTTATGTCCTCAAAAACTGATTTATGTGAAATGTGTGAAATAATAAAAATGGATATTAGATATGCTTTACAATATAAAAAAAAATTAGAGCTTACTAATAGTTACTTGGCCCACTTAAATCGAGTACAAAAAGAACGTGACTACTATAATGCTAACATTATAAATGCAGTTGAAAATAGCAAACACAATCCAAATGTAGTCAGCTCTCAAATATTATTTAAAAGTTTTAGTGGTAGTGCTCATATTGCATACGATTGGGCTCAAAATGTGCAAATATCTCATTTACTACAACAAAAGGTGCTTTGTTTTTTAAAAGTTTACGAAAAGTACATTTATTCAGTATTTGTAACACTGGTAATTTTCTACATATGCAACAAACAAATTATGTTATTGATGAAGCTGAAATGCCTGATAATAGTAAGCAAGGTAAAGGTGTGAATTGCACTCTAAGCTTGATCTGGCATGCAATTTTTAAATATAATTATAGGGAAAAAAAGTTGGCTGTTATATGCGATAATTGTATAAGTCAGAACAAGAATAATTTTTCATTATTTTTTTATTTATGGTTAGTTGATCGCAAGATGTATGATGAAGTTGAGTTAAATTTTATGATTCCAGAACACACTAAATTTATATGTAATAGTTGTTTTGGTCTAATCAAAATTCTCTACCGAAAAAGCAAGGTCAATACTGTAGAAGATGTAGTCTCAATTGTTAATCATTTTACAAGAATTAATTTTAATGTTGCTCAATGTTATCTTAATAGAGAAAGCTTTCAATATTATGATTTTAAAAATTAATTTCAAGCATTCAAAAAATTACCTCATATTCAAAAGTACCATCATTTTTATTTTACTTTGCAACACCCTGGAATCATCTTTTTTAAAGATGATCTTCAAGATAATTATGAAAGTTTTACAATTCATTCCTTTTCTTTTAATGCTGATACTCCACTCCCTACAATTGATGCCTAACCACTTTCTCAAAAGAGACAGGAAGAACTATATAAAGAAATCGCTCCTTATATTGATTTACCTTTCCACAACATTACTTGTTCTGAACCAAAATTTCAAGATAAAAAAATAAGCTAAATTTTTTTCATGATAGTTTTATTAGTTGTAGCATTAGATTTGTGCTGAACTCAACATAAATAACAAAGTTCAGTTTATCCTAATTTAGTATAAAACAAGTTTGGTTTTTGCATTATTAAAAATCAAATAAAATTAAAAAGTAGAATCCGGAATAAACTTGATTGTCAAACCAAAAATTTCAAGAAAAAATCAAGTATATACTAGCTAGTGATGAAATTTTTTTATGTACAGTATGTATATACATGTTACCTCAATAAATAAATAAATAAATAAATAATGATAATAAATAAATAAATAAGAGTATATTTAATTCAAATATAATAAGTACTTAAGGGATAATGGTAATAGCAATAACTTAAAATAAAAAAATAAGTTAAAAAACTCAATGTTAAGGATCGATATTTATTCAAAAAAAAAATAACAATAGTGACAGTAAAAAAATAAATATTAAATAAATTAAAGTGCCAAGAACAATATTTTTTATAATTTTACATATTGCTAGTAAAATAAATTAATAAAAAAAAAAATTTTTTTGTCGATTATAAAGATAAGGCTGAAAAATTTGAGAGATCAGTTGTAAATCACATGACAATTTTCAAATGCGATTTTCTCAAAATCAGATGATCATCCTACTGGTTTGTTTTGCTATGAGAGATCCCAAATATTAATTTTTAAAGAATTTTTATATATAGAAAAAAAAGTTACTGAAAATAGATAAGTATACTTTATAATAGATAAATAATTTTATTTAGAATATTATAAAATTTTTTATTAATTAATTAAAAAATAAAAAAGTTTTATTAGTAGCATATATTAATTTTAGATAAAAATTTTAATATATAATATATAACTATATAAAAATAATCTACATGTCTCTTATTCTTAACTATTGGTAAATTTACTTAAATTAATTTAAAATAGTTAATTTATATATATTTGCCTACTTATACTAAAGACCAATCTTCATGAAAATAGAGATTCTAGTGTAGTAGTTGGGTTGTCATTCTTTAAATGACAGGTCTAATATTTAAATCCTATTTATAACAAAATTTAAAAATTAATTTGTATTATGATAACTATTTTTTGTTAATCAGTTGACTTTATGTAGTTGTAATTTAGATATACTAAGTTAGATTTTATCTGTTATTGAGAGTTTAAAGCATATATGTAAAGTGTAATATTATATATATATATATAAATATTCTAACTAATGTTGCATAAGATTTGGTACAAAAAAAAAAAAAAAGATATTTACAAAACTCTTTTTACTAATTATCAAAATACAAATTCACAAAAAAAACAAAACAAATTTTATATAAAAACCAGTGTCAAAACTATAGTTAAAGACTTAAACAAAAAGAAAGAGCACTTAAAACAAACCTAACAGATACAACAACAAAGAAAAATAAAAAATATAGCAAGTAGAATAAAGACAAACCTGATGAAATAAAAACCAAAAAGAAAATTTTAGAGAAAAGGTATTGATCTAAAATTGCAAATTATCTTGCAAAGAAAAAAACATTAAGCAAAAATATAATATATATAGAAGAAGTTTTTTTTTTTGTTAAAGGCAATACTTTGTAGTAAAACTTTATTGTTATTATTAAAGTTAGTTATTATAGTATTTTATACAAAAATGAAAGTACAACTAGTTATATGTACAACTTTTAGTTGCCTATTTAAATAGTCTGCTCTAGAGTTTTATACTAGATGCTATACTTATAATCTATTAGAAGATTATTTATTTAAACTCTTTGATCATCTGCTTCTATCATGATATAATACCAACTAACCTCTTGTATATATCCAATTAGTATACTGTCTGAGCAGTATGATACTTATTCTTTTTTTTTTTTTTTTTGTTATGCCAAAGTAGAAACTTTATTAAGTAATAAAAGTAATTACATTAAAGATTTCTAA